GGTTTCTGGTCACTATGGGTCAGAACTGACTCGATGGCACTTAACAACAACAACAATAGGGTTTCTGAGGAGGAGCTGGTGAGTTTAAACCATGGAACTTGAGGTCCAATACTTACCTTACAGTGCTACACCAGAACTCCCTATCTTTGTGAGTTTGTATTAGGTACCATCGAGTTGGTTATGATTCACAGCGACCCTGGACAGGGTTTCTAAGGAGTAGCTGATGAGTTTGAACCACCAACCTTGTAATTCAAACTGACCTTGTGCCACACCAGTGACCACAGTGCCACACCAGGACTGCTCCCTATCTGTAGTGTTGTTTAATTAATTCTGGTTAGGCATCATTGTGCTTCTTGAAAATACTTTTAAAATTTCATTATTGTTCTTTCCTTTTTCTGCTGTTTCTCATTGTTGTTTGTCCTTTTCTTTTTGTTTTGTTTTGATTTTTTACTGTGTAGTGTTCATTCATTCTGAAAAACAATGTGTAGGAGATCATTAGGTGCAAGGGTAAAGAAATATTTGTGTTTGGATCTTCCTAGTTCTGGAGGACACTAAAATCCTAGAGCACTTTAAATTAAGTTAGAAAGTGATATCTCATCTACTAATCAGGCAAATTAGGCCATTTAGTAGACTGAATCATGTTTTGGTTGGTTGCATTTTAAAGTAGATGGGGAAGGCAAGGAAAAGATAATGAATTTGCTTTGAGATGTGTCACATTTAAGATACTGATAAATCATTCAGTGGGAATGCAAGGTTTTAAATGGGACTTACCAAAAAGAGACAGCTTTTTACTCATGTCCATCAAATATATTGGGAGATTGGACTATGCATCTACATTGCTTGCTTTGTCTTAGTGGCAGTAATAGCGTACTGGCTACATTAATTTCCTGGATAAGATCATGCTAGGTAAAGTCCAACGAGAAGAATTAGCACAATGGCTGCCGCAGTGGACTCAGGCTTAACAACAGTTGTGAGGATGATACAAGACAGTGAATTGTTTTGTTATGTTGGGCATAATGTTGCTATGAGTCAGAATTGACTTGATGGTACCTAACAACAACAGCAACTCCAAATTAATTCATCATATTGGAAGATATTCTTTTATTACATGGGATACAATTTGCCCAGATGGAGAACTCTTCTCTTACATACATTTTCTCTGTTAGTTTTTATATTAAATTTTCTTGTCCATGAGCATTGTATACAAGGTATATCTTCTTCTTTTTTTTTTTTTTTTTTTTTTTAAGTTTTTGTTGTGAATTGAGTGAAAGTTTACAGGGCAGATCATCAGTTTTACATTCAATAAATTATATACTTTGTTTCATTACAATGATTATAATCCCCTCCATGTACCAGCAATTAACAGTATTTCTCTCTATTCATTTTAGCTCTTTGTGTTGTTTTTTTAAAAACATTTAGGCATATATAATGATTTAAAACACCAAAGGGCACATTCTGCAAGCCTGCCTCCTGGCCATCAGTTCTCAGTTCCTCTCTTCCCATGAATCTAGAGTCCTCAGTGGCTCCTTCTCTCCATGTCTCTCCAGTGCCTTCATCTCTGGTGCCACTGCTTCTCTGGATAAGGTCACACATTCTGCTCTGCTCTTTCTCCCTTGACGGTCCTAGGGTCCTCTGTTTCAGGACTGTAAGATTAATTACTCCCCCATTTTTGTTACAAAACTTCTACCTTTTTTTGTGACATTCACAATTCGTCATGATAACAATTACTCATTATTGAATCATAAGAATCTTACCTCCATTTCTTTTTACCAGACCCATCTAGACAAGATGAAAACTATTCATTGGGGACTCTTCCCACACACACTCTGAAACTAAACTCCTTCTTGAAACCTTATAAGCTAGTCACGTCATGCCTTTATCACCTTCTCATTTTAGGTAGCCATTGTCTAAGTTGCCAATCCCTATCTACCCTGTATACAGAGAGGACAGCATTAGTACTTGATGTGAAGACTCCTTCCCTCTCTGTTAATATTTTGAGTTACTACCTCCATGAGTATAGGTCAAGTTCATCAAATTGTAGCAGTTTGCCATCATTTCCTTTATCAAAAATTGTTTGTGTTTTTTGTCTTATCTTCCTCTAGTAGAGTTCTGATTATCAAGCCATTGAGACTAGATCAAATGGGTACTACCTGCAAGTTTGAGCATTCATGTGTGTCTCTCCTCACTTCATATCAGCTGGATGCTTTATTCTCAGTTCTAGCCATGGGCTCAAGTGTCCCCAGGTCTCACAACACTTTGCTCTAACCAGCCCTTCTTCTTCTCTCTCTCATCTCCAGGTCAATTGGAATCTATGGAACATGGTTAAACTCAGCCCATTTCTTCATTATTGCCTTTCCCCCTCTTCCGTTCACCAGTAGACCAATGTGGTCATCCTCAAGCTTACATGCCTACTCATGAATTTCAGTCTTAGAGGGGGGTTTGTCCTGAAGGAACTTGATTGCTAGCCTTGATGGCTTCCTGGAGAACAGCTTGTTTATTCTTATAGTAGCCAATTATACTGCCATTTTTTATTTGGATTTTTCCATGATCTTTCCTTGAGGATGTATCTTCTGTCACTCTAGTTGTTCCAGGATGGTCTGCTTGTCCTTTGTAATGGGAATATCCCACCTCAGAAGGTTCTGGACGGGGCTCAGGATTCCACCTAAGGTCCTATACACTGCAAAGGCTCCGCAAGAGGCCTAATTCACTGAGCAAGTTGTAGACCCCCTTTTAGGTATCCCAATCAAGGTATATCTTTTGTTTGTTCTTTTTTAATTTCTTTTAAGAATATTTTATAATTTCCCACCTAAGGGTAAACATGGAATACTGGTAAGCGCTGTGGGTTAATGCACTGGACTCCAAAGTATCTTTGAACTGCAAAGTTGGCTGTTCAAGCTCACCAGTTGCTCCTTGGAAAGCTTACACAGGGTTGCTGTGGGTCAGAACCAACTCGATGGCACTTAACAACAGCAACAAAAAGAGTCCTTACATTTTTAATTCTGTTGTATATGATATTTTATTTGACTACATCCTAGCCGTTCATTGCTGGTTTATAAAAATGAAATTGATACTTGAATATTAGTCTTGCATTCTGCACCTTGCTAAACATCTGTATTAAGTTAAACAATTATGTGTGGATTATCTGTGTTTTCTATATAGAAACCATGTCATATGAAAGTTTCTTCATTTACAATACTTACAACTTTTCTTTCTTCTTTTTTTTTTTTTTTTTTTTTTACTATACTGGATATGAACTCCAAAACAATATTGAATAGAAGTACTATTGTTTGTTTTGTTCCATATTTTAATGGGGTTATGTTAATATTTCACCTGTAAGTATACATACTTTAGGACTTCTGCAGATTCCCTTTATTTATTAAGACTGTTCTATCCTATTCTGAATTTACAAAAGTTTTTTTTTTTTTGATCATAAATGAATGTTGAGTTTTATAATTTTATTTTCATATCTTGAAATTCTCATTTTTTTTTTCTACTTACACCTCTCATGTTGGTTAAAACATTAAAGTGTTGCCAGTTATTGAAGCTTCAATATGAACCTATAAAGAATATTTTGCAATTGCTGTAAGAACAAATCACCAAATGGGAAAGGCCTAGAGAAAACCTAGCACATTGTCACAAAACAACAGACACTGGAGTAACACTCGGGATCATTAAGAAACCCTGATGCTGAATGAAAAATGAGTCACTTGGGCCCATAGGCTTCAGAGAAAATGAGGAGGAGAAAGAAAAGAAGGAAGACCAGAAACTAAGTGTGATGTCTGAAAATGAAAATGATCATATGGAGATGGCATTGTATGTTGTTGCTGTTGTTGATAAGTGCAGTGCTGTTGTTGACTATGATTCTGACTCACAGTCACTCTGTATTAGGTTTCTGAATAGTGTCTACTTTGTGGTTAGCAGCCCAGTCCTTATGCTATAACATCATTGTTATTGTTGTTGTTAAGTGATGTTGAGCCAGTTCTGACCCTGTATAAGGTTTCTGAGGAACAGCTGGTGAACTTGAATGGCTGACTTTGTGGTTTAAAATGAACATAGGCCTCATTAAAAAGACATTTCTTTTTCATTAAGAAGCAAAGGGACATAGACAGGAATATAGCTAATAAGAATACATACCAGATAAAAGAAACTTTAGGGGTCCCATTTATGATGAGGAGTCCTGGTGTGGCACTGTAGGTTAATGTTCTTTCTGGATTGAAAAGTTGGATTTAACTGAAAAGACATTATTTCAAGCTCACCAGATGCTCCTCAAAAACCCTATACAGGGCCCCTATGGGTCGGAACAACTTTGACAACATTTAACAACAAATTATATGAAGAAGAAAGAACAACCTTAAAAAAATCTAATCAAAAGAAATTTAGTACAAATGAGCAGGCATGTTTCTCTGCAAATAAGTTAGAAACTAGTAGTACCAATTATCCCCAAGAATTGACATAGATTAATAAAACAAAAAATAGAATGCAGTAGTGCAGCTAAACATACAGCTAAGTAAACCTATCTCTGATCGATATGGAAGACTCTGGCCATCTGGCCAAAGAACATACCTTTACCCCTTGTGGACTAAACAGAACATCACTTGAGCATGGATAGATTTGGTTTCTCTCTCTTGTAAAAGTCTCAGAAGAAGTGAAGCTTTTTCTCCTTTCCATTTTCCACATTTTCTCAGATATCATGTCTGTTAAAAATATTACATTTTTTAAAAGATGACCTTGATCTCTTTTGTTATTGTTGTTAAGTACAGAAGAGGGATGTTCCACAAGTAGAAAAGGGCAGCATATTGAATAGTTTAAAAGTTCTGACAGCACCAATGAGGGCGACTACAGGAGAGAACATTCCAGCACCTTTTTGCTGTTGCTTTTATTCCAGGTCTCTTTGCAGATCAGATAGAGAAGGCAGCCCCAGGAAAGCAGCAGGACCTACACATGTAACCAATTTCTTTTTGTGCTTGCAGTAAAGTTCACATTTTTGATTGTTCCTCCAGATTATGTAGATCCAGACATATTTTATGCAGTCATCCGGATCTTTCTCTCTGGGTAAGTATAGTTCATTTGCTTTCCTGCATGGGGCCTCTGTAATATTTTCCAAACCTATGAGAGAAGGAAAAGAAATTTCCTAGAGTAAGAAATATACCAAGTAAAGTTTGCTAGCAGAATAATCACATGCATGCACTCTTGGATGAAAGAAGTAGGCTACCATCTGCATGACAAATGACATTGAGGATTGATATTTAAATCCAGAGTGATTGTCCGGAGGCCATCATCTTGGGCCCATTTGTACTCACTTTTCCTAGAACCTCAACTTGATTACACAGAAAAAGAAAAGAAAACAGAAAGCCCAAGGTACCACCCATAAAGCTTGATGCCTAAGCAATTGAGTTATAGGAGTAGACAATAGCATGAAAGCTCTTCTAATACTCCTAGAAGAGCTAGTCCATACCAGTTTTTCATATTTACAGACAGTCTCTTTTGTTGTCATGTGGCCCGAAATTTCTCCAGATAGAAAACTCTACTTTTAGATATATTTATTCTTTTAAATACAGTAGACATTTCTATCCTGACAGATTACTTTCCTATTTATTAACTGAGGAAAAAAAAAAAAAAGGTTTTTTTGTTTTTCTAATGGTGAAAACTGAAACATCTGGGTGGTGTATCTATTAGGTGAAAATTGCATAATATATAGCACCTGGTGTGCCATTTTGATAATTAGAAGATGCCTGAAGTTGTATCTAGCCCTGGTGGGGTGCTCTGGGTTAATATGCTGGACTGCAAGGTTGTTTGAATCACAAGGTTGGCGGGTCAAGCTCACCAGCGGCTCCTTGGAAACCCTATGCAAAGTGACTATGAGTTGGAACCAATTTGATGGCTATTACCAACAAAAAAGTTACTCTGGACATAACAAAAGACATACCAAATTCTGGAATCTATAAGTGCCATTATTCTGTTAGTGCAAGAAGGAAGTAAAAATGTATACTAAGTATTTTTTCTGGTTGCATAGGTTTGGAATATGTAACACTGTAAAGAAGAGGCCTAACCTAGTGATAATCCTCATTATAGGGGAAAATATTAAGGAAATTTTTTGAGATAGGGGCCTGAAATGAATTTGGAAATGTGGCTCAAGCTTTAGGCTTGCCATATAGACACAAACATCTCTTCATTTACAAAACCTTTTCTAAAGACTTCAAGTTTAAGTTATTTGTCTTAACTTTCTAATGTTGCCACAACAGAAATACCACAGATAGATAGTTTTAACAAAAAGCTTTATTCTCTCACGGTATAGGTGACTAGAAGTGTGAGTTCCAATTTCTGCCTCTAGGGAGAGGTTTTCTCTGTTGGCTTCAGGGAGCAGCTCCTTGTCCCTTCAAAGTCTGATTCCTGTTTCTTCAAGATCTTTCTGTATTTAGGCATATGTATCCCCTTTTCACTGCTAGGCTTGCTTGTTTAACATCTTTAATATGTAAAAAATAGAGTGACTGAAGATTTACTGTACTCTGATGCTGTCTCATTAACATAATAAAGGCCGACTACTCCCAAATAAGATTATTACCATAGGCATGGAGATTAGAATTTACTGCATATATTTGGGGGACATAAATCAATTCATAACAGTATCGCATAGACCTCTTCCTGTTCTCAATATTCTTTGCCTATCAGCCTCAAGAAGAAGATCTGACAATAGAATATCTAACAACAAAAATTAAGCAAGCATGCCATTGCAAAATAGACAATTGAGGGGGAGAGAAAGGAATAGCCAGAAATATCACCATAGAAAGCTTGTAAGTCCATCGTCTGCCTATAACTGATTGGAAAACCTAAAATGGGGCTACAACATGCCCAGTGAAGGAGGCTTCCTGCAGAGCCTCTGCATTACATTAGACCATAGGTGGAATCCTGAACCTCATCCAGAATCTTCTGAGGTAGGAAATTTCCACTTTAAAGGACAACCAGACCAGGCTGGAGCAGCGAGAAGAACAGAAGATATTTCTTGAAAGAAAGACTGACAGAAAAAATACAAAACCAATAACAGCAGTCCAACTGACTACTACAAGAAAAAACAAGTTGCCTGCCCAGAAGACAGCAAGGCAAGCAGTCGGATTCCCTCAGGGCAAACCCCCTTCCAAGACTAAGACTTAATGGGAATACACGAGCAGACACGTGCTCTGACTGGTGACCACGTTGGTCACCAATAAGGGGAAGTGAGGGAAAACAGCAACGAAGCAATAAAGTGAGGGAAAACAGCAATACACTCCTGTGAACCCGTGTGGAGACCTGGTTGGCCAGCAGTGTAGCAAGACCTGGGGACTCTTGAATCCAAAGTCAGTGACATAGCCACAGAAGACTAGAGTGGAGAGTGAAACATCCAGCTGATAAGAAGAGAGGGCATATGTACAAGAATACCCACACTTGCAGAAAATACCCACTTGACCTGGCTTCTATGACTAGATGATCAGAGCTCAACTAGAAGAAGAAAGAAGAGGAAAAAAAGAGTAATCTGATACAATTTGATGAATTTGACCTACACCTAAGGGTGCAGTAGCTCAAAAGAGGGAACAAATCTTTACAGCAAGGATCATTCCCAACCCCTCAATACACAGGGTAGATAAGGATGGGCAACTTGGACATTGGCTACCCAAACAGGTGGGGGGAGGGGCTACAAAAGCAAGAAGTGACTGGCTTACAAGCTTTCAAGAGGGAGCCTAGTTCCAGAGGGCGTGGAGGAAGGTAGAATCTCTACTGAGTAGTATCCAATGTGTCTGGGCGGGACTGATGAAAGGAGATGGGGATAGTACTCATGTGGTTCAATAGGGAATAATTACTATCAGGACTGATTGTGAGGAAATGTAAAGGTAAACGTTTTGTAGCAAAAGGAGGGCAGTGGTTGACCTTGCAGTCTAGGAGTGGAGGTCCCTGGGACCATCAAGGGAGAATAGCAGAGTGCGGGACCCTACCCAGAGAAACAATGATGCCAGAGATAGAGGCAGAGACAATGACGTGGAGAGATGGAGTGGCTGGGAACTCTAGACCCAGAGAGGGAGAGGGGCTGTGTGCTGACGACCAGGGAGCAAGCTTGCAGGGTATACCCTTTGGTTGGTTGATGATGCATGGAGGGGATTGTAACCATGGCAATGTAACAATATACGATAGGATGAATATAAAGCTAATGTCCTCCCATGTAAACTATCACATAATTCATAATAAAACAGTTTAAAAAAATTAAGCAAGACATGTAGATATGTTTTGATAGAATTAGACAAGATATGAAGAAAGTACTTTTTCTTATTTGTTTGGGCTACCATATAGCAAGCTTATATTAACTACTGAAATAGATTGGTATTTAGGAATTAACTGAATCCAGGATAATCTCTTCGTGTTTTATCTTGATCTCTAAGTCTGTGTTAGTTTTCTATTGTTGTATAAAAAATTGTCACAAATTTAGCAGCCTAAACAACACAAATTTATGGTCTTACAATTCTTTAGGTCAGAAATCCAGGCAAAATCATCTGTGTTCTCTGTTTAGGGTCCCACAACGGTGAATTCAGTGTGTCGGTTGTTATCTGAAGAATCTAGGGAAGAATCTCTTTCCACTTTCACCCAAGTTATTGGCATAATTCAGTTCTTTGTGGGTACAAAATGGAAAGTCTCTCTTTCATTGTTGGATATCAGACAGAAGTCATTCTTAACTTCTGGAGTTTTCCTGGGCTCTTTGTCATGTGTCCCATTTACGGTGCTTCAAATGCTTCTAATGAATTTCTTCAAATCCTCCATTTGGACCTTGACAAAGAAAGCTCTCTGCTTTTAAAAGTCTCATATGATTAGATATAATCCACAGGCATACCTCAAAAATATTGTGGATTTAGGACCAGATCACTACAATAAAATAAATATTGAAATAAAGTAAGTCACACATTTCCTCCCCCCCAGTGCATACAAAAGCTATGTTTACATTACACTGTATTCTACTAAGAGTGCAACCATATTATGAAAATGTTTGAAATGTGAGAATTACCAAAATGTGAAACAGAAACACAAAGTGAGTACAGGCTGTTGAAAAATGGTACAGAATTAAAAAAAAAAAAAAAAAAAAAATCACGGTATCTCTGAAGCACAGTAAAGCAAAGCTCAATTAAAGAAGGTGTGCCTGAAATTACATATGGTCACCTGTGTAATCTAAGATTAATTCCTCTCTTAGGGTAAACTGATTAGTAACATTAATTATATCTGATACGTTCCTTCTGCCTAGAACATATCATATCCCTGGTAATCATATCTCGTGTATATTAGTATCTTAAGGATTTGAGTGGGATGCCTTGAAAGTAGGGGAGAGTTTTAGATTTTTACCCCACAACATCCTCTGGGGAATAAATAAATTCTACTTCTTCATTAAATCAAAGGCATCTGATAAGGACCAATTGCATATTCTGAAATTTTCAGAATTAGAAGGAACTCTGAAAATTAAATATTTAAGCACTTGGCTGCTAACCAAAAGATTGGTGGTTCCAACCTACCCAGTAAGTCTGGGGACATAGAGAAAACACCTAGAGATCTGTCCTAACAGGTTGTTGTTGTTGTTATGTGCCATGGAGTCGGTTCCAACTCATAGAGACCCTGTACAGGGTTTCTGAGGCTGTAAATCTTTACGGGAGCAGAAAGCCTCATCTTTCTCACGCAGAACAGCTGGTAGTTTGTAACTGCCGACCTTGTGGTTCGCAGTCCGATTCGTAACCACTTACACCCTAGTATATTTTATGTAGGAATTCTATTCTGTCCCATGGGGTCACTATGAGTCAGATTGACTTAACAGCACCTAATAAAAAACAAGTGGGTGCTAGAGGATGATTGTTTTATTAAAATAAGTTCTGGATCAAAGAAACATTTAATCTGGAGTCTAAATAAATGCCTCTCCTATTGCTGATCCTCAAAACTATTTCCCACAGTTAGGCTAAGCTTGAAGTATTTATAATACTTAAGTGTTATCATTGTTGTTGTTAGGCTGACTCATAGCAACCCTATTCACAACAGAAGGAAATGCTGCCCAGTCCTGGGCCAGCCTCACAGTCATTGCTACATTTGAACCCAATGATGCTGCCACTGTACCAATCCCATCTTGGGGGTCTTCCTCTTTTTCTTCAACCCTCCACTTTATCAAGCATGATATCTTTCTCCAATAACTGGTCTCTCCTGACAATATGTCCAAAGTATGAGAGACAAAGTCTGGCCATCCTGGCTTTCAAGGAGCACTCTGGCTGTACTTCTTCCAACATAGATCTGTTTGTTCTTTTGGCAGTCCATGGTACTTTCAATATTCTCCTCCAACACCATAACTCAAATGCACCAGTTCTTCTATGATCTTCCTTATTCACTGTTGAACTTTCACATGCATATTATTGTTGTTAAGTGCTATCAAGTCAATTTCAACAACCCTATGTAGGGTTTCCAGGGAGTGCCTGGTAAGTTTGAACTCACAAATGTGGTAAGTTTGAACCATTAAGTTCAAACTGACCTTTCAGTACAGTGGTTAGAATTCCCAATAAGAATGTCTTGAAACATCTAACTCCTCTCTTCTTCTCTTGACGTGTCCTATGTTCTATCTACAATTTTGTTTTATCTATGTATTTTTTAAATACTTTGGCTTAGCAGAGTTGAGAGATTCCACCTGTAGATGAATCATATTCTCTTCAGTTCCTACTCACATTAAATTTGTATAAATTGAGGGAAGTTAGCCCTATGGAAAAATGTTAGTTCATATATTTCTTTTGCTGCTTAAATTTGCCATTTTCTTGGGGTTGCTTGAAAAATATTTTGCAAAAGCACTGCTGTAGAATATGCACTGGACCACAAGGTCAATTTGAATCACAAGGTCAATGGTTCAAACTCACCAGCTGCTCCTCAGAACCCCTATACAATATCGATATGAGTTGATGGCACTTAATAACAACAAACAATGGCAACATAAATATTTGAAAGGGGAAATTGTTTCTTTCTTTCACAAACAGTGGCCTGGGCCTGAAAGTACATGGGAACAATCCTCAGATAGCTCAAAGAAACCCAATTTTCCTTTCTCAAATGTATCTTATGATAGTTGGAGAATATAGGTTTTGAAAATGAATAGCCTTCTTTAGTCTTTTTGTACTTTCCATTTGGTGTTCTCTCCTCCTTAGGTTGAGGAACTGAGTGGATACTGATTGATGTTGCTTAGGTCATTTAAGACATCTGATGATTCTCTTCAGCTGGCTAGATCCTTTCAAGAAATGACACTTGGGTCTACATGTTATGGATATATAATGAAGACTTCTAGAATATCATTTATTAAGTTAGCCATCAGATATTTAGTGTTTATCATATGCCAGACACAGTTCTAGATGTTGAGAAGTAAAATTAACTCTGTTCTTTTGGACCTTACATCTTATAATGGAAACAATGAATTAATGAAAAAGTTAATATAATAATACAATGTATGGTACACCAGGAAACAATATAGCGATGGTGGTTGTGTTCTGTTGACTCAGTCGCAACTCATAGTGACCCTGTATAGGATTTCTGAGGCTATAAATCTTTATGGTAACAGAAAGCCTCATCTGTTTTCCATTGGAGCTGCTAGTAGATTCAAGCTGCTGAACTCATGGTTAGCAGCCCAATTTGTAACCCACTATGTTTCCACGACTCCTTAAAAAGCAACATTGTTGTTGTTAAGTGCAGTCAAGTCAGTTCCGACCCATAGTGAACCTCTATAGGGTTTCTGAGGAGTGTCTGGTGAGCTTGAACCTCTGACTTTGTGGTTCAAACCAAACTTACAGTCCAACATATGAACCCACAACACACACCATGTAAAGTGGAATACAGGGGATATTAGGAAATGTTGGACCTGGTGACAGAAGTTTCTTATTTATTTTAATCTAGGGATGATGCCATACTACTAAAATGAGTTCTGAGCATACACCTAAGAAAGTGAAGGAGTGAACCACTCAAATACCTATTCCAAGCAAAAGGAATAGTGATTACAGTGACCCTGAGGCGGAGCAAGTTTGTTATAGTGGGACAGCTGCAAAGAGGCCAGCAGGACTGGCATGGAGTGAGAGATACAAGATTAGCACAAATTAATAGCTGGGGACTAGATCATGCAGAACTTTTTTGCTTCTTCTCTAAGTGACATGAACAATGTTGGCGAGTTTCGATAAGCGGTATGATGCGATCTGCCTTAAGACCCAAATCGTTACTGCCTAAAATAAAGCTCTCTTTCCTAACAGCTACCTAATGCAGCCTGATGTGATCTAACCAATGAAATCTTTCCTTTGCTCCTCCTGTTTATTTCTTCAGCATTGTTTTCTGTCCTCATCTCTTTCCAGAGTGATAGTGACCCAATTGCAAAGGCCACTCTGTTGTGTAACCTGGGAAAACCATAGAACAGTAAACTGAAAACAGCTCAAAAAGAATGCAATCCAGTCTCTTATAGAATTTCCTACCTCAGGAAGGTATTTGACAAAGGTCATGCATAACAAGTAGAACAGTCTGTCTACTGTTTTTGTAAGTGTGTGTGTGGTGGCATTTTCCTTCTGTTGAGCAAACTGGCTTTTAGAATTAATTACAGGAAGAAGGTGAAACATCAGTGTAAGCCTTGTTCCGAGGATTAAGAGAAAAATATTATTTTCCTTTGTAATATAAATTCTTGTTGTGAAGTTTTTAAGAAAACGAAAACAGAGAATTACAGGCTTAGGGTTCAAGTTCTGGTTCCTCCATTCTTTAGCTATGTGACCCTAGAGACTTAGCTGCACTGAGTCTTCATTTCTTTTTCTATAAAATGGAATTGAAAGCGATATGCTGATCTAGTCACAAGAGGTCAAATGCAAAATAAATGTGAAGGTCCTATATAAAGTATAAAGCATTTAAGTACAAATGTAGCATGTTCTTGTTGACATTATTATTATCACATAGTAGTTGTTGTTGTTAAGTGCTGTCGAGTCAGTTCCGAATCACAGTAACCCTTATGGGGTTTCTGAGGAGTGGCTGGTGAGCTTGAACTGCCAACCTTGTGATTCAAACTGACTTTGCAGGCCAGCGCATTAACCCCTATCACCACACTAGGACTTCATATCACACAGTAGAGTCCCCACATATGCTCTGTAATTGTTTAAGACTCTAAAAAGTCAAACAAGGAGATAAGAGTAAAGTGTGAGGAGGAAGAGGCAGATTAAGACAAAAGAATGAAGGATGGAATTGTTATGCCCAGAATTCAGGGTCCCCAAAGACCACCCAGGAGCCGTGTACCGATGCAAATACATAAGGGTTGTTTAATCAAGCTCGAGCCAGGTCTCTAACCTTATCCGACATTTCGGAATAGGGAAAGAGCCCCGAATTCATTGTCTGCAGGGTTTTTATAGAATTTTCAAACAGCTCAGGTTTCTCAGCTTTACAATCTTTGGATTGGTTAACAATTGGCAAACTATGAGATGTTACAGTTTAATTGGTCAGGACTGGTGGTCTTTGTTCTTAGGCTAGGGTAAAGGAAAACATCTGGCCTCTGGCCTTGAGCTGCCTGGCTATTTATGCATATATCATATTCTTGGAGCTAGAGTACGTGTTCAGGCTAATGTACAGAATGGAGATTGACCTTGCCTCTGGAGGGAACTAATAACTGAGGCCTTGTCTATTTAAAATGCTTTCCTGAGCCTGACTAGAGTTTAGTCAAGCAGTTTCTAGGTAGGCAAAATCAGTTTGGTCCTTACAGAATCAGTGATAAATTAGAGAGGAGAGGAGATCATTTAATATGAGTATGAGCCCCAGTCCCAGTCCTTCAACGTGACCTGATTTTACCTCTGTCACCCTGCAGGGCTATAGCGTATTCTCTTGTTGCCATCAATGTTATCTACCCTTATTATTTGTATCTACTATTAATAATATGGAATCCTGTTGTGGCACTGTAGAATCAGCACTTGACTACAAACCACAAGGTCGGCAGTTCAAAATCCACTAGTTGCTCCTTGGAAACCCTGTAGAGGGTCACTATGAGTCAGAACCGACTCGACAGCACTTAACAACAACAACAACAACAACAATTAACAAAGACTTCAGTGGTCATTTCCACAAAGTCTGATATTCAGAATTGATAAGACGTAATGGGACAGTTATTCATGTTGATCAGGACTGATAGTTATTTTTAACTAAATTTCTCCAACAAATATGTCATGTCATCACTGGCAAAGAGTCCTCTCTAAATAACCTTGACTTCCCTGGAAGAATTCTTTAAACAAGCAAGAGTAGGGCTGTATTATATGGCCAGTCATGAAATTGCTATCAAGATGATTTACGTGAACACAGCCTACAAAGATATCTAGTCCCTTGTTCTAAAGTTGCCACCAAAATAATGTTCACATTCCTAATCATTCTCTGTTTGCTTTTCAGAAAATGCACTAACTTGTAGTACTTTCTACTTCTTCCTCACTTTTGCATTAGATGGAAAGATAATTCAGCAATGCCTGCGGGGCTGATATATGAAGGAGTCTCTAAAGAGCCCCTGAAATATTCGGGAGGGAGTGCTGCTCAGAGCACTGTGCTTCATGCCTTTGATGAATTCTTAGGCATTTGCCACAGTAAGGAAAGTGGTAAGTCAGACATGTTTCTTTTTCCTTTTGTTTTTATAGGGAGAAAAAGCTGAGCTATATCTACCAACTGATACAACTAAGTTTAAATTAATTGTTAAATTAATTTGCTAGATAATAACCTGTTCATCTGCCCAATGTTATTATGTCAAATGAATTGATATCAGATCCAAACAAGTGCTGGAATTTCATTTTCAAATCTTATATCATTGCTTTATGAGTAGAATTAAAAAAAAAAAAAAGTATTGCTATAAAATAATGAACACTTTGTTAAACTAAAATAGCAAAATGTGTGAGTATTGCTTCTTGACATATCTTCTATTTAGGTATATACACCTCTAAAGACAGTATTTTCATTTCTCTCATCTTTCCCTGAAGAATTCTGCACTCTTCAATTTACACCATGTCAAAATGTCAATTTTGACATCCTTGAGGAACTATGAGTTCCTTTTAAATATTTTTTGAGTTTGGGAGCAAAAAGGAGTCTGAAGGGGCAAGATTAAAGCTGTAGGATGGATTGGGTAACATTTCTCAATGAAATTCTTATAGGACATACATTTGAAGAATGAGCAGATGCATTGGAGTGATGAACAAAAATTCAGCTGTGCAACTTTGCTAGTCTTTTTTATCACCAGTGTGGGTTTCCTTTGTCTTAGAATATCTTCATAATAAGCCAATGTTAGTATCCTGTTTCTTTGAAAAAAATCTATCAAGATTACCTGTTCAGAATTGCAAAAAAGCAGTCCGCTAACCTTCTGAGCTGACCTCTCAAACTTGAATTTAATTGGTCCAGCAGATCCCCTTTGAAGCCATTGTTTTAATTGGACTTTGCTCTCTGCATTTTCTTGTTAAATCCATGACTCATGCTCAGCTACAATTCATTTCACGGAATCATCTTCATTAAATCCAATCTTTCTTAAAATGCTAATGAAAGATTTCTTTTTGAGAGAGTTGATCTCCATTCAGTGCTTTTTGCACCCATCAAGCAGAAAGTTTGCTGAAGGCAAAGTTCACTTAAAGTCAAAATTGCTGTGTCATGTTAAATTCCAACTTTATTAGCTGTCACATCAATGGGAATTCTAGTCTTCTTCTGAAATTTAGCCACAGTTTCTTCATTTGTTTGAGTTTATTGTCTTCCTCCTCTTTTCTTATCTTTGAAATCTTCGGCCTCACTTAAAACACTTGATGAATTGAAAAGCTATTTTTTTCAGTGGGCCAGCTTTGCTACCAATATGTTGAAAAGCTTCAATTATTTGGAACAATGTCCACTTGAATTTTGTTTAAAACTTGATACTGGCTCTGTCCTCAAAATTGCTATTATCCATAGCACAAATCACAAGCAGTTCAAAACTACCAGCTGTTCCGCAGGAGAAAGGTGAGGTTTTCTGCTCCTATAAAGAGTTACAGCTTTGGAAACCCTGTACAGGGTCGCTATGAGTCAGAACCGACTCCACAGCACATAACAATAACATAACACAAAAAATACCATTTAAAAATGATTTTAAGACACCTTTGGCACTGTGGGATAAGGCATGGACCTCAAGATAAGTTTAAAACACAAGGTCAGCGGTTCAAATTCACCAGCCTCTCCTCAGAAACACTGTATGGGGTTGCTATGAGTTGGAACCAATCTGATGGCGCTCCTCAGAAACCCTATACATGGTCGTTATGGATCTGAATGAACTCAATGCCACTTCACAACAACAACAATAACAACAATGAAACTAGATTTGGAATTCTGAAAAATTAGGAAAAGCCTTGCACTGCTAACTACAAAATCTCCAGTTGCTCCTCTGAACCCTTATATTGGATTGCTGTGGGTCAGAACCAACTCAATGGCACTTAGCAATAAAGACAAATGAGACTAATAGTTCCCATGTGCCATTTTAGGATAAGCCCTGGACTGCTAACTTCAAGATCAATGGTTCAAAACCACCAGGCACTCCTTGAAACCCCTATTGTTGTTGTTGTTAAGTGCCGTTGAGTCAATTCCCACCCATAGCGACCCTGTGTAGGGTTTCTTAGAAGTAGCTGGTGAGCTTGAACCGCTGACCTTGCAGTTCAAAAGGCTTTGCAGTCTGGCGCGGTAACCCACAGCACCACACCAACCCCTAAAGAGGGTCACTGTGTGTCAGAACTGACTCGATAGATAGCACTTAATAGCAATGACACAAGCGTATTACTGAGAAAATTTGTCTGTAGCCGTCTGCCAATCACAGAAACTTGTTTAAACAGGTTTTGTTTGAAATAAACTTTTCTATGAATTTACTGGAACCCTGGTAGAAATACTTTTTGACTTATCCACGTATTTGTAGTTCTTCACTGTGATCTTGATTTGATCCTCAAGTAGTAGCTTCCTTTATATAAGGTAGGGGAGACATCTGGAATTTGAAGGTTATGGCATTATGTTGATGAGTCTGGAATCAGCTGGTGTTCTGTATGAGTTGCTCCACTAAAGTTCTTCCCAATAAAGCCGTGCAACTTTCAGCCAAATCAAGCTGTAACAGAAGAGAGATCTATTTTACTGGAAACTTGAAATTGTTCATTTCCTTACCTGCCAGTGCTGAGCCAAGTGTTTGACAGCTGCAGAAAGACACTTCGTGCTAGAATTTTTAAGTTGAACTCTAATCTTAAAAAGACTAAAACTTGGCTTTGTAGAGTCCACAATGATTCATGGAATTTTACACTTGGTAAAGTCAATGCTTTATTTACCGTGCATAATATTAACACATAATAGATTTCTTATAAATATTTATTGATTTGATTTTTTTAAAAACTTAACTTATTAAGACAATTACTAAAATAGTTGTTTAATCTTTACTTTATTTAGTCTTACAAATTCAGTAATTTTCCTTTTAATAACCACACTTTCCAAATCGAACTGCTTGGGAAACAGGATTCACCAGAGTATTTAACTGACCAGTTTAAGTGATTCTCATGGAGAAGTGAGTGTACCTGATTCTGTGTGCAAAATCAAATAAAATCAATCAGAATTTCTGAAGAAATAAAATTGCCTCTGAACAAATCATTTTTTGATTATGCCTTCTATTTGCAGAAATTCTTTATTAGTGTCTGTTGCTGTTGTTAAATGCCATCAAGTTGCTTCCAACTGATAGCAATCTTGTATAGAGTTTCTCAGGAGCAGCTGGTAAGTTTGAACCGCTGACCTTGTGGTTCAAACTGACCTTGTGGTCTAGTGTTTATCCTATGGCACCACAGGGGAATTCCTTATAGTGTCTAGGAAGGTACTTTGTTCACATTTGGTGTGTGATAAATATGTATGGATTCATCAATAGATCTAGTTTCAACTCAGTTATCTGAGATGTGATCGCTTTTTTTTTTTTTTTTGTCTTCCTCTTCTCTTGTGAACACTCAAATATGTGTATTTGAGCATTTGAACTCTACAAGCTAACCATGGAGTCCTGGTGTGGGGCTGTAGGATAAGCACTGGACTACAAGGTCATTTGAATTTCAAGGTTGATGGTCCAAACGCGCTAGTCTTTCCTCGTAAACCCAAATCAGGGTCACTATGATTCAGAAATGACTCAACAGCACTAAAACATGAGCAACAATCCAAGCCCAATATGATAGAGTGGACACTTAGGACAGCAGTGACAGTTTCTGAGGCACTGGAAATGCAGGCAGGACTTTCCTATACTTTCATTTGGAGCTATGATAATGTTATGAATTGTTTCTTTCAGGTGACTTTCTGCACCGAATGAGGGACTACATGCCTCCATGCCATAAGGCCTTCATAGAAGAAATTCACTCTGCTCCTTCACTGAGAGAATACACCTTGTCCTCTAGAAATTGCCAACTTCTTACAGCCTACAACCAGTGTATAGAAGCCCTGGCTGAGCTGCGCAGCTATCATATCAATATGGTGACCAAATACCTCATCACAGCTGCAGCTAAGGCAAAGGTCAGGAAGCTGAGTCATCTCCCAGAGCCACCTCAGGTTTTAGAAGAGAGAGGCACAGGTGGAACTGCAGTTCTGAGCTTCCTGAAAAGTGTCAGGGATAAGACTTTAGAGTCAATTCTCCATCAAACTGACTAAGAGACTGCCTTTTCCCCCAGAAATGCAGAAAGGAAGGTTTCCCTTACTCTCTTCCCCAGTGGAGGACAAGTAACTGGAAGGATGAATGTCAGGATTCTGCCTAATACAACCTTAAAAGGATCTCAGCATTATTCTTGTTTCTATTCTATAGAGTGTCATATTGACCTTTGTTGAGAGCTGTATGTGTACAAACAGACAAATTTACACCACCCAAAACTTCCCTTCTCTGATTCACCACTACTTAATAGTGAACAACATTATACATGTCCTCATTTAGAACCCCACAGAGGAATGTGTATGCCCTATTCTGTTTTCAAAGTAATAATGAGATCAATCAAAATTTCAAAGGGAAATAAAATTACCTTTGGACACATCATCTTGTTGATTCCTTAAGAAAAAAAAAGCCAGATGAAATATTTGAGCTTTTAAAAACTCATGAAGTTTCTGCTGAGTACAGGTTTGCCTTTCTTAGGAGTTCTGGGATGACACAAATGGTTAATGCAGTGGACTGGTAACCAAAAGGTTGGAGGTTTGATTCTATCCAGAGGCATCTCAGGAAAAGTCCTGGTGAGCCACTTCCCAAAATTCAACTATTGAAAACCCTATGGAGCAAAGTTCTATGTTGAACATATTATATTAGGTGGCCATGAGTCAAAATTGGCTTGACAGCAACTAGTTTGGTGTGGTTTGGTTTGGTTTACTATCTTTGTGGCAGAATGTTAGAAATGCTTGAATAGAGGTGTAGAGGGAAGAAGAGGAAGTTTCCAATATGAAAATGAATAGTTAATGGTATGGGGATAGATGAGATCTTTCCATCTGGTGTTTAACTTTGAAAATTCTATTCTGTTTGCATTATTTTTAGATTGATTTTCTCTACATATATTAGAGATTTGTATTTGTAAAATGAATTAATTGACCCTTTGGGAGGAGATGAACAAAAAATTTACACTACAAAAGTATAATGAGAATAAATTTTAAATCTACATGCTAAGTGAGAGAGATGGTTAGAGTTTTGTGTCAACCTTATCTGGGCCAGGATTCTCAAGAGCAAAGATTCAGTAATTCTCTTTGATGAGATCATAAAATAATGTACTCACCTCCATGATAAGGTCTAATATAATGTAGTCACATACATCTTGGGACCTGCTACAAGCAGTCAATCAATTGAAGGGAGGTTTCTTCAGGGGATGTGGTGGTAACATCTTTCACTTAACAAAATTCTAGACTCCTATCAACTTTCAGGCTCATGGTATCAAATAATGAACCATCTTCCTCCTCTTTTAAACACTTAAAGTACTTTGGAGTGAGCTAGAAGACTCATGTTCCCAAGGGCCTAGTCTGGGAAGGATGAGGTATGCATACCAGGGTCAAGTTTCTCCTTCTTAGAGACACTCTCCTTCCTTCTCCTCCTCATCTTACTCAAAGAAAAATATTTTTCTAGTCTGGGTGAACCAAGTCTTCTCTCTATTGTTAAGCCAAAGGCTTAGCTCAAAAGACTTTTTAGCTCTGATGATTCAAAAAAACCTCTCTTGCATTTGAAACATCTATTTTGAAACTCACAAAGTAAGGATGAAAATTTTTATTTTGCTTTATCTAACTTTCTTGCCTTAGGATAAATAAGCTCAGTTCTTTCTTACTGCCTGGGCTGGCTGTCTGCCATGGTCCAAATAAATGGATCAAGTGCAGGGTATTTGGATAGAAGCATGTTGGTTAATAATTGAAAATATTATCCATTCTCATTATCATTCTCAGGTGATAAGAATATGAACTTTAGAATAAGGCCTAGATTTTGTTTGAATTCTGACTATGCCATTGTTTTAAATAATACAGCCTTGGCCAATTTATGAATGTGACTAATCCTCATCTTCCTATTTCTTGGGAAATGGGAATGGTATCATTTTTCCCCTATGTAGATATAAATATCAGAAAGAGTTTCTGGCACAGAGAAAAAGTTCAATGTAAGTTTATTTGGTTGTGAGGTGAGGCTGTGAGCATTCTGTACTCCTCTGGCTTCCTGGGTTCACATGATCTGCATAGCAACAAAATGAGTCACTATCCTTCAGTACTTCAGGATGCTAGTGGTGGAAAGTGACAAAATTATGACCTTAAAGATAGTAAAACCCATGTTTTAATTTTCCAGCTGTTTTATGACAAAAAATTATTTAATCTTTCAGGATCACAGTTTACTCCTTAAAAAAAAACAACATTTAGTAATTACTATGTGGAGCTAATAAATAAATAAAATAACTGAATGTTTGCTATTATGCTGTGATTTCCATGTGTGTGTTCTTGTATTGTAGATAGAACCATGTCTAAAAATCAGAAGCTAAAAAGGAAGCTACAACTAGTGTCTATCTGAGAAGAAAATAAGTAGCAAGACACGAAAACAAGCCAACAAAATGAGACTGAGCCTGAATTTCTTGTGAAATGCTTTAGGCTATGATGAGGGTCCTTGACAGAGAACAAAGGATGCTATTGTTCATTCCAGGAACAAATGAGCCACTGAAAATGACAGCAATAACAAAGCATCATCTTAAATGGCTTACTTTAAAAAAAAAATTGTAAATTGACTATTGTTTTACAGAGCAGATCATCAGTTTTACATTCAAAAAAATGTTACATTTCATTTCATCTCAAAGATTGCAATTCCCTCAAAGTAACATCACTTTCTTGACTTCTTGCCTGATATTCCTGTTTCCATTTCACCTTCTTTCCCCATCTTTTCAAATTTTGTCCTAAGGTAAGTTCTGTCCTCTTGATCTCAAATGATTTATCTTAAACAGTTAACCATTCTGTGGTGAATATATCTCACTTATGTTGTTGCCCCCTCCCACCCTATATATCTATTTATTGCTTGGCTGGAAATTGAATCACAAGGATGAGTTCAGTTCCCAACCTGAAAGGTTTTGGGGTTCCTCCAGTCTCTTCTGACCTATAAGCCTGATCTTTTTTATGATTTTTTTTTTCTACATTTTCGCCTACTCTGTCCAAATTCTCCTAATGTGATCCCTTTCAAAGCTCAACTGGGTTGCTTTCAATTTATCCAAATTCACAGAGATTAACATAGGTGGTGGTAACGTACTGTGGAGTCCAGTCCGACTTATGGTGACCCTGCAAGGCTGTAAATCTTTATGGGAGCAGAAAGACTAATCTTTCTCCTGAGGAACCACTGGTAGTTTTGAAATGCTGACCTTGAGGTTAGTAGCCTAACTTGTAACCACTACACTACTGAAGCTCCTTGAGATTAACAGAGAGCAGGTTTTTAGTAAGTATTGGGCAAATGCAAAACTAGATAGAGTAAATGGGGTAGGAAGAAAATTTACAAACTTGAGTCAAGCTTTCAGAATATGTTTTGTGTGTTTGTTACTATCCAGCCTGATACACAGGATGAAGTAAATGTAAATAACAGTCTTTATTTTCTTTTTAATGAACTATAGGTCTAAAGATTCTTCAGAAAGATTCTCTTAAAGATCCTAGCTTATATATGCTCTCTTGGGAAAGTGGGTTCTATTTTCATTTTATGGGACAGTGGTGAAAATAAAACTTCTAGTACAGAACAGAATACATTTTTCTCAAGGTTTCTAGGGACAAAGAATATGCATATTAATGATTGAAATAGGAGTCCCTGAGTGATGTAAACTTCTAGCATTCAACTACTATCAAAAGGTTGATGGTTCAAGCCCATCCAGAGGTATCTCAGGAGAAAAGCCTGGTTTTGAAAACCCTGTGGATGACTTCTACTCGGACACTCAAGGATTGCTATGAATTAGAAGAAAAACCAACTGTTGCTGTTTTTTAGGTAGACATAATTTGTTATTATGCTTGCATGATGCTTATAGAATAGCTATACTAATTCAAGCTTGAAGAAATGGCAAAAGTGTTTAGAAACAAAAGGATTTAGAATTTTTTCTAAACTTAGGTTTGAATCTCATTTCTGTTCAGCCATTTATTCACAATATAAACTTAGAAACATATTATCTCTAAGTCATATTTATAACTAAGGATAGTAATAACCTACCTTGCAGTGGTTGTGTGCAAACAAACCTAGCATTTATGTGTTGTATAGCAGAACCCTAGCAAATGATAGTACTATAATGATGCTGTATGATCCTTGAAGGATACCTTGATTTGGACAATAAAACAAGTTGTGGTCTCCCACCTTTAAGTTCTGAGAAGAATGCAAAGAAGACCCAAAAGGCATGAAAACAGGAAATGCTGCAAAAAACATTTTTGGGGCGAAGGAGGAGATTACGTGTATGTATGTTGGTGTAATAAGCAGAAAGAGCCTGCCATGGGTGGAGGAAAATGCATATTTTCTTCCAATTTTAAGGAGTTTCCTCTTAGATTATAGTACAGAGATAGTCCTAAAATTAGATAGGATAGATATTACTTATATGATAATTTTGAAGACTCATCAAATTTATGCTTATATAGATGTCTCCCTCATTTAAGATTTCTGCATTGGAGTCTGGTTGAAGAGAACTGGTAATCAGAATAAGTTATCCTGGTACCTGATTAGTGTAAAGTCCTCACACTCTCTACTTGAAATAGAGTACCACTTTTTGATAATGGTTGTTGTTGTTAGGTACTATCAAGTATGTTCTGACTCATAGCAACAGAACCAAATTCTGTGTGGACCTGCACCATCTCACAGTTGTTGCTATGTTTGAACCCATAGTTGTAGTCATTGCAGCATCTCGCTGAAGATAGTCCTCTTTTTCACTGACCTTCCACTTTACAAAGCATGATGCCCTTTTCCACGGACTCAGAAGAGGTAAAGAATGATGTAAGTTGTAGTTATTCTATAAAAGATGCTAGGAAGGGGTATGGGAGTGGAATGGATAGAAGCCTCTGAAAGAGAAACTAGGAATGCAATCCCAGACAAACCTGGGGTAGTTTACAACGCAAGACTTTATCTGCTAGGTGATCCTCGTGAAATGAAACCATTGTGTCTCTCAATAATTTTTTTGTTTGATATTTTGTTGTGAATTGAGTGAAGT